GCCCCTGCACTTCAGTGATAAAATGATCACTTTCATCATGATGAAGATCATTCTCTCTTCCTGCCATAGCTGGCTGGTCAGTAGACATATTAGCTTGGCACTACTGMACCCTTCAGATAGATGGGAAGCATCTCCTGCAGCCAAGATCCTTGAGTACAACAACAAGGCCATTAACAGGGGGCATGCAAGAAATGTAAATTACTTGAGTGTAAAGATCCGCATCCCAGTCCCTTTAGTATCAGGATGTTAACAKGAGTTTTGCTTGAGTATGGAATTGTCCACACACCAGTCCCTTAAGTATGAAGCCCCTGAACATCTGCCCTTAAGTGCTGTACTACTAGGAAGATCCATGTGCCAGTCCCTTGAGTATCAGTAGTAGTGCGTTAATGGGTGTTTTGCTTGAGTATTGAATTGTCCACATGCTGGTCCCTTGAGTATGAAGCCTCCACATGCCTGTCCCTTTATGAATGRATGATTTGCAGCATTTGCTTGAGTATGAAGAATGCTGCACTTTGCTCTCCTGTTGTAGAGCAGTTTGTGTTATTTCAGAGGACGAGTGTATGGTTGGGAGAGGCGCAGCATTGGATGTAGTTCCTCCAGTACTACTGTATACACTGTCCTATAAAAATACATATGTAGAGTCAGAATGGCATTTGAACTAGATACTGTAATGTACAGGGGGTAAATGCACATGGCAGGCAAGCCAGCCGGCCCTGAAGGTTTGGAATTGCCAACAAGTAGTACTACTTGAATTTAGTGCACTTGAACTTACTAGTAGGAGCTCTTTTCTGTAGTGCTGGTAGTACTAACAAGATCAAGGTCCTACAACAGGGTTGTGGCGTGCAACAACACAGCCACTGTTAATCCAYTCAGGACAAGGGTTAAAATATTCTTGTTACTGTACCAAGAAAGAAGCACCTGGAGGTTCTTTGCTTATTCTTGCAGCACCTGGTGCTACATTGCTCACTGTTCTTGTTGTGTCACACCTACAAAAATAACTAGATATAATATAACCCCTACTTTTTATTTTTATTTGCCAGCATGAAAAGCATTTGTACTGCAACTACTAGAAATTGTTGTACTACTAATAGGAGGAGGAGGGGAAGCAAGAAGTCGCAGTATCTGTCTGTGTTTCATTATGATAAAATGTATCCCAAARKTTTTGCCTTTATTGTTATGATTCGTATAAAAGTAGTAATAGGTAGTATTTTTCATGTACTGATTCCACCATGACAATGAAAAAAGGGCTAAAGCATCACCCAATGAACTGAAATCCTTTCTCGTGTACTATCTTTGTATATATCGTGTACCGTGGTACTATGCAAGCAACAAAAATCTTCCCAGCATCAATTCTACGACGCCAAATGTATTGCCCCTAGTCAAAAAATACCGCTATCATCTTGTGCTCTTCTGAGACCTCAGACCTACTGAGCCATTCTTTCATTCTAACATCCCTCGATCTCAGAACGTGCCAGTCCGATGCATTCGCCGCCACGAGCCATTCTTTGTTTGCCGATTTGGGTCGTGACCACCGGAGAAACGACAGTCTCTTTTTCCTGCGCTTTTCGCCGCTTTTTCGAATGATCGGTGAAGCAGGAGCGCCGARGCTCGAGCCGCTTTGAAAACTCGATTGCTCGGTACAAAGCGATTTTTGCCCTTCGTCGTCGTCGGCCTTTTCCAGACTGATCTCGTCACCGTTGTGAAAGGGAGAAAAGCAGGCTTTCTCTGGGAAAAGGCCTACTGTTCTTGCGTTTGAATCCTTRTCGTTGGAGATCGTAGTTTTAGCCARGAATTTTTGTGTGGATGAAGTAGTTTTTGAATCTTTGGATCCTTTCACCACATCTACACTACTAAGATCCTCACAGATATCATCGTCTGCTGCCGGTGATTCAGAGTCGAACGAGTAGGATGGATCACACCATGGCGTCTCCTGCCATTCAATAGCTTCCGGGCCAYYCAAAACGAACGGGTCAAATGCAGGAATGCCCCGAAGCTCGTTCGATTGCCACTGGACATGGATTGGGCCAAGTGAAATAATATYATYACTAACGCGGCAATGCCCATTCTTGTGCTCAAATACAGAAGGGAAGCCATYCATGCATTCGAAATCTATTTTCGACTCAGCTTCTAGKGTATCAAGCCCTGGGAACGCTTGGAATTGGATAAGAGATGGAGAGTTTATTTCTGAAGACTCGGAATCAACCATATTCTGAGGATGGTCGATATTTTGAAGGTTTTCTCCTCGCAAAGGATTCAATGATTCGTAATGTCGAGAGGCTGCATTCCAAGAACTGGCGRTTTTTTCGGACCCATCTTGGTTTTCTTGCGAAAAAATGGCGGAATCCGTTGATTGTTCGTTCGTTAATCCTAAAGATGAACGAATCAGGAATCTGGCTTTCGATAATCGACATCTCAWATTCTCAAGACTTTCATCAACTTCCTGCGCTACAACAGTTTTCACCTCAATTTTCCTAGATATCTTCCTTTTGTCCTTCTCTGACGATAGCAAAAGCTTGTAGTTTTTAATTTGACTRGGTCGGATGTCTGTCACGGATGAGGAACCAACAGTAGAGGCTTCCCTCTCAACCAGCCTCCGGAGCCTTCGGATGTCGTATTGGACGAAACGCTTTCGATAAGTGGCTATTCTGCAATGTTCTTTGTTCCTACAGTCCGATGATTGAGATCCAACCACATTATTTAGAAACTTCGACTTCGATATTGATAGATCAAGTCGGGACCTGGATGTGTCWTGCCGAAATTCTTCACTTTGACTCTCACTGGCTGTCTTCTCTTCTTCGACCCCACGCTCCAAATGAGGATYATTTCGCAGATATCCCTCATTGCAAGCGTCTGAAACTTCCATTGCTTCTAAACGGTTGTAGACAGTGATCAATGATCGGACTCTCTGGTCCAAGGACATCACGTCGCAATCATGGGAGGAGTTCGGAGAACCTTGATCACTCTGAATCTGGCAGAGATTATGATCAGACGCCATGCCCGCGCTTTCTTGTATTTAAATAACTCAGCTGCACTGTGGTAAGTCGGAGCAGAATTTGGTGTTTCAGTGGCGATGACGATAGCTCTATTTTGTGACGCTGTCACTTCGAGGAAAAGTTACAACGGTTCGCGTTCTGTTCGTATTATTCTGATTAGTGAGATACCCTGAATTCACGAAGCGATATAAACCTTTTTATGTGCTCTAAAAAATATCACAATAATGCTTTGTGTGCTAATATTAGCTTTTGGGTGATCTTGATGATTACCTCGCGGTTCATAGTGTTTGAGATACATGTAGAAGCGTTTGTTTCAACTACAAGAAGCAATAAATTAGGCGAGATCAATTTTACTGTTGTTGCAAACGGAGAATACGGAAGGCCGGATGCTCCCGCGAATGTTCCCGCGGATGTTCCCGCGGATGTTTACTAAGGTCATCGGCATCTGAACTGTGATACCATGGRGATCTGCGACATRTTTTAACGGTCGTGAATATGATTCACATGTCATCATGCGTGAACAGAAATTATTCGCTTAATTTTGCACGTGCCATAAATAAGATTGGCCACGAGCTGTGACCGTTTCTGTTCGCAGATATTTTTGACCACTTAACTCGAACCTCGAGGCGTTCCCCAATTTGCACGCTGCAGACCCTCTTTTGTAGTCCCACATCAAGAACACATGTTGTTCTACCCCCGAATCCAAGACCAAGAAAGGACAAACTTTCAATAGAAACGTCGAAAAAAAAGTWATCATGAATGGTATCAAATAGTGTCAACATTTCTGCTTCATGTGGTTGGTTGATTGATCAAAATAACAATGAAACACTAGAAAGAGGAACTCCTCTTCTCGTCTGGCTTCTCGTCCTCTCGTCTCCCTGCCTCCTCCTCGTCATTGCTGTCAGCACAGCAACACCAACAAGAACAACAAAACTACCCTTCTTCTTCTTCTTCTTCTTACTGTTCTTCTTCTTCTTGTTATTGCCGGCCTTCATGTTCTCACTCCTACTACCTCTTAGCTAGTAGTATTCCTTGATCTTGTTGGTGTCTTCTTCTTGATGTTCTTGGTGGTGCTGGTGGTGCTGGTGGTGCTGGTGGTGCTGGTGGTGCTGGTGGTGCTGGTGGTGCTGGTGCTGGTGCTAGTGCTGGTGCTAGTGCTGGTACTATCCTCCTCCTCCTCCTGTACTGTATTGCATCATTTTGTTCTTTTCTTGTCCTTGTAAAATTCAAATTGAGTGTTGATGCCTTATCATCAAGAAACACTGTTTTGTTCACCAAATTGTCCACTGCAGCAGCACTACCACTAGTACTACTACTACTACTAGTAGTAGTACCACCAACAGGAGTGACATTGCTGGTTGTACTGGTGGATCCAGGACCCCACCATGCTGGTGTGCTGGTGTGCTTGAATGCTTGTGTGCTGGTGTGCTGGTGTGCTGGTGTGCTGGTGTGCTTCTTGCTGGTGGTGTGCTGGTGTGCTTCTTGTGTGCTTGTGTGCTCGTGTGCTCGTGTGCTCGTGCTGTGCTTGTAGTAATGCACTTCATGGGCTAACCCAGGAGGTACCCAGGAAATGGTCCCAAAAGAAAATAATTTTTGAATTGGAGAACACCACTAGAACTAAATAAAAATTGTTATTTTTAAACAAAAAATACCATTTAAGATGCATGGAATGCAAAAATATTAAAAGATGGTCCTTTTGGTCCCTCTCCTGCAATCCATGATGTTTGTAAAGAATGATACTATGTAGTACAAAGTAGTGAATTATATTATGTTGGAAAAATTGCCATAAAACAACTCATGAAATTGTGCTTTTTCAGGAGAGGAAGTATGGATTTCAAAGGGGGAAGAAAGCAGCATGTGCTGTGGGTTTCAGAGGGCCCTGAATGAACTCAAAAGAATGTCAAAAATTCCTCTACAAGTAGTACAACTACTAGTAGTAGTAGGCATTATTAATATTATTCCTACCTGCTTAAGATATCATCCCAAAGTGGTTTTACTACTACTAGTTGTACTACTACTAAAAATAATTTGACTTGTTCGTGGTGTGTGCTGATGACATGCTGGTGGAACTTCTTGTTCTACAAAATGTGACAACCACTATCATGCTCCTCTCTCACTTGAAGAAGAAAAAGACTCACTGGTGTYCTATTAAAATAGCATGGTGTTAGTGACAAGTACTAGCATGAAACAAAAATAAGTGGTAGTAGCAGCATTTATTTTTTGCATGCTGATGGTGACAAGAAGAGGCCAAAATTAGTACTGGTACTAGTAGCATATATTTTTGCATACTCCCCCTGCTACTAGAACCAAAGGTTATGTAGGCAAAATACTACTACTAGCTATTCTGTCTAGTATTTTGCAGAGCCCATTGTTCCTCAGCTATTTCTTGTTGCCTGCTAAAGCACAWAAATATTGAGAACAAACCATCTTTTTAGCTGACATTGTGATGACTATGAGGAGTAGCAGATAAAATAGTGTCAGTAATTGTGTTCATTCATTTTGTTTCCTACTACTACTACTGCTATGATTGTTGTTTGAAATATATTGTTCTTGTTTGCTCCTGTGCTGGCACTGTTGGTRCAACAATTTCAACAGAAGCAGCAGATGCTGTTGGGAGGTGAATATCCCAAAGATTTTTTGAACACATGCAAAATCATCAAGTGGTGGGCCTAGAAAAGGAATACAAATGAGGAGGAGGATTARTTGTCCAGCAAGATTTTCTTCCCTGCAGGATTGACCTTCATAGAATGCAGGTTCTTTGAGTGTCCTGCTGCAGACGAGTTGTTTCTTGATGAGCACCACTTACATCTGGTGGCGGCTTCTTCTGTGACATAGTACTACTACTAGTAGTACTAGCTATGTGATGTATTAAGAGCAGAGATCACCAACTAGTACTCATGCTTTTTTGTTCATGAGGAGCACTTTATAGGGTAGAGGAGATCCACTAGTAGAATTTTGTCAAGAAGCAATTAGCATATCTTCTGTATCAGATGTTCTTATCTGATACAAATGACTAGTATCACCCCAGAATATAAAGTGCTGGTAGTAATAGTAGTTGTTTGCAATTTTTCAATTTTGTCTTGTGGGATGCTACTACACATTTCGTAACAATTGAATAGGGTCGAAAAAGAGAGCAAAAAGTAATAATTTCAAGTTCTTAACTTTGATTTGAAGTTATGAACTTTTGCTCATGTATCATGTACCAGGTTCTAGTTTTTTTTAAATGACTGCTGAATGGCTCAATAGATTCCCTGGTCCCCTCAAAACAAAAAAATGGTTCAGGGCAATTGAGGTGATCCAATCATGAATCCAGCCTTTCAATCATGAATGCCATCCAAAAACTAGCTCAGTAGAACCTGGTATACTTTCTACCAGGACATTTTGAAGTTCATAACTTCAAATTGAAGTTTATAACTTGAAATTATTACTTTTTGCTCTCTTTTGCGACTGTATTCAATTGTTATGAAACACGTAGTATTCTGAGAGATTTAGCAGACATACTACTACTAGTAGTGGTATTACTAGTAGTAATAGTAAGAAATAGTACTTTGTATTTGTCAAAATATTATTTGAAATTCTAGCTTTCTCCTGTGAGTGGAGATAAGAAATAGCAGAATATGGCACATCAAGTGCAACAAAGCTCATAGTAGTAGTAGTAGTAACAGAAATAGTAGAGATAAAGGTTTCTGTTACCATCTTCTCCATCTGAATTCTTAGATGCTATTTGTCCCTCTCATCATWAATTTCCAAGACCTGCCTTTATGAATCTTGATCTCAAGTTTAGCAGCAGCCTCCCACCAATAGGACCAAGCCACTACTACTACTACTAGTAGTAGTGTTCTTGATCCTAGTTGTACTAGATATTCTTACCAATACTTTCTGTCATACATTGCCTCTGCTGCTAGATCTTWCTTGAGGCAAGATGATTGTCTGTTTGCCCCCTTCTTAAAATTATATTTTCTCTTTCAGTTGAGTACTTTGATAAAATAGTAAAAAGAATTCAAGGGAGTATTTGATGAAACTGGTGATGTTTCTATCAAATATGAGGACTACTAGTAGGCTGTACTAGTACTACTAGTACTGATAGTAACATTTTATTCCTTTTGGATGCTACCACGACATCCTGCTGACCACTGCCTTCAACTAAGGAGTCAATAAAATTCTATTTTGAGTAGGTTTAATGATGAATTCTGGGGAAAGCTTCTTGATGATGATTCACACCAAACACAGCAATGCAGACAAACACTCAAAACAATGGCATATTCTCCTCTGCTTTTCTTTACAGAAGAACAAAACATCAAAATGAGACACACAAAGTAATTGTAGCATGATAGAAGATTGCCAGATCACACCATTCTATTACTAATGAAAAAAGTTTCAAACATAAAGAAACTTAAACAGATTTGACAGAAAGAAAATACAGAGGAGACATACCAGWTTTTCAGAAACACTGCTTGTTGTTACTACTAACTGCATCATCATCARAGCTGATATTGTTGTAGGTGGGACCAAATCTCCAAAAGGATAGATCCAAGGTGGATGATTAATCATGCCAACATGAATGCAGAAAACTATAAAACAAAAATGGAGTCATGTTTGTATTCTAGATTGTCAAGAAACAAAAAGTTGGTGGGCACAAAACAGGATTATGAAATTATCAAAATTGATGGATAGTACTATTGTTTGATGTTTAGATCCTGAGAAGGTTTGATGGAAAGACAGGATGAGAGGCAATGGTACTACACAATGAAGGAGACTTCCAAAAAATGAGAACTTTGAGAAGTTCTTGTCAAAATGCTGTTGCAGCACAAAGGTGGCTAATTAAAAGTTGGTACTATTATACTCAAACAAGTGACAAGGGAAGACACTTAATCAATTTCCAACTGAAATTCTTGCTACTAGTAGTAATGTAATCATAACTCATCACAACAACTAGGAATACTACTACTAGTAGTAGTTCCCACCACCAGTACTACTAGTACAGCAGGACAGCAGGAAAGATGGATCCTAGTAGTTGGAAAATGCTGTGGTCTTGTTGGTTTGTTCAACCTTGTAGGATTTGTAAGCAAGCACCAATTGGATTTTGTAGTAGTAGTAGTACTGCTACTACTAGTAGTAGCACTGTGCTTTGCTTTAAAGAGATAGAACTTCCAGTGATCTGTTCATGAAAATACCTCTTCTTGGTACAAAAATAACACAGCATGGTGCAGAAAAATGCCAACAAGAAATAATAGACAACAAATCAATGAGGAATACTTCTTCCATCATTCATACTGGTATTTTTCATTAGTACTAGTAGTAGATTTTGCTGTACTAGTAGAACAAAAGAATCACCCCCAGCACCACCAAAAAGGAGAAACAGCCAGCCAGCACCAGCACCATTCGTGGAGGAGGAGGGGAGTGATTACTAACAATTGATTGGCTTGTTCTTCTCAATCCTTTAAATTTTATTTTATTTTCCTCCCTTTGACTACATCAGTGTTTGCACTGTGGTAACTACGAAGCTTACTTTAAGCACTTAGTACTTCTATTCTAGTATATTATATTTTAGTTGTGGTAATAAAAGCTAATGAGTGCCTCTTTGTTGAAGGTATGACCGTAGTAACGAACTCAATCGTGAGTCAGAACGCTGCATTGAATTACACGTGGAAGGTATTTTGATGGATGATGACTGAGATCATCGTCAGTTTGCCAACACCGAACGGAAAACCAAGAACAATAGATCTATTCAGGCCTTTTTGGTTGGTGATGACAATGGCGCAATTACGGCACCTGACGATCTAGAAAATAAACGACAAACGAAGGAAACAAGTCTAGAACCCCACGATGATCGGAGCTAATACCATTCTCAACTTCTTCGCAGCATTCCTTTTGCTTTGCGGAGGTGATGCGTTCAGGTTAGTTTTCTTTGTATTTGGTTGTCCATAGGTGCTATGTCGACGAAATAATATCTCTGTGCTCTCAACAAATATTTTTGAAATCAATCTTTACGTGTTTGAWCCTGCTCGATGCTCGACTGCTGGATCTGTTTCTATTCGAAATTCTTCCACTCTGCTTGGTTTTCAGCACAAACTACCAACAGAACCATGGTATCAGAGTGGGTGGATCATCGCCATTCCCGAAGGGCCAGTTTGTTCCTACCCTCAAGAGTCGAGATTTCCAGAAGTCAACGAAACTCAAGGCCCTAGATGTGGCATCCCTATCGGGCGGAGCCGTTACCGCATATTCCTCGGCCAACGGCCTTCTGGCGTCCCTGACYGARACCGGATTTTACCAAGCGTTTTCCTTGGTCTTTGTTAGTGAAATTGGTGATAAGACCTTTTTCATGGCCGGTTTGCTCGCAATGAAAACCTCGAAGTTCATCAGTTTTTTGGGATCCATGGGTGCCCTCTTCGTCATGACAATCATTTCCGTTCTTATTGGCCAAACATTTCATGTCGTTCCGGCTGGTTTTGGTGAGGGCTTCCTTGGTGGTCTTCCACTCGACGATGTCGCCGCTGTCTTGGCCTTCGCCTTTTTTGGTTTCAAGACCCTACAGGAAGCTCTCACAATGGAAGAGGGAGAAAGTGTTATGGACGAAGAATTCGCGGAAGCAGAAGAGGAAGTAGAAGCAAGCGACACAACCAAGCAGGGCACGATAATGTACGTATCATACGGCATTCAGTTGTATGGTTTCAATTATCTCATGCTGCTAAAAATTGAAAATGCTTTCTAACCTTTGATCCAACATCTATTTGATTTCTTCTTTTTTGGGTACCGGGTATCTCATTACTACTAATCGTATTTTTGTACAAAAAATGTACTAAATCAAATAAATCGTTTCGGTTTTTGTCTCGTTGCGGATMAAAACGATTTTTAATGATCGAAACAAWCAAATAACAATCAACACACCAACACYGAWAATAAATCCAAACAGCGCACGCATCCTAAGCATTTTTGGTTTGGTCTTCGCGGCAGAATTCGGAGATCGATCCTTTTTGTCTACCATTGCCCTTTCGGCGGCACAAAATCCATTTAGCGTCGGCGCGGGTGCGATCGCCGCCCACGCAATAGCAACTGGAATTGCTGTTTCTGGCGGTGCCGTCTTGGCCAAGTACCTATCCGAAAGGGTCATYGGCATTATCGGCGGAGCTTTATTCATAGTATTTGCTATCACCACGGCTTTGGGTATCTTTTAAGAACGCCATGAAGAAAGGAAACACAAAACAGCTGTTTCCATCCTACCTTTTGAAATATGAACTTCTTTGCAYTCAATGGAAGTCACTCCGATAGCGATAGAAATTCCATGGCGCAGACACCGAGAACGTTTTGTCCTGTTCGAAGGCACTATGCAAAACAACTTTTCTTTGGTGAATGTTTAAAATAGATYAAAATAGATCACTGGGTAGAAACGACTACATATGGGTTTCCATTTTTTAAGATAAGATTCTAAAGAAAGACAACATGGCTCTCAAATGCACTCAGTCATTTCGATGTGAAGGAGTAAGATTATATGGATGTGATTAGCTTTATTGCATGTGAACAGTGAAGACTAAATTTCTCCGGACGATACTAATGAAATATGCATTTATACAAAGCATTTGATTTACGGCCTTATYATGTTTCTCAACTCGGAGCTGCTTCAATCCRTCGTTTGGCATCAGTGACTGATGGCATGCGATGATCGTGCCATGACAGCAATGGTAGTAATGTCCTCCTCCTAAACTCTACCATCATACGTACCACACACCATTGTGGAACKAAAGGGATCAACCCAAGTCAATCAGCGTGGATATGACACATTCATACACAAAATCCACAAATCATTGCRCAGCACAGCGCACAGCAAACCGCGAGGAAAGGGCGGGTGAAGAAATCAGTTCACAAAACGGGTAGTTCCCAGATCGGTGAGGGCAGAAGCAAAAAAGTAGAAGTATCATATTATCCCATCAAAAGATGACGGAGTCTTTCAGCAGCTGTTCCGCATCAATTTCTCAACATCACTCGTCATTCCTTCATAGAAAAGGTGTTGTACAGGTTGCCATTTCTTTCTGTTGCAATTCGATGATGTTCGAAAGTGATGTCGACGATTTTTGAGATTTGTGATTTCGTTAAGGACAGAGGTATCTTTTGCGAACAACAAAATCATTAAATTAGAGGTGCGTACGGTACGGTACTTGTACTGTTCGAAACGGTACTCGTACTCGTACTCGTACTCGTACAGAAAGGTATCTCAAATCAATTGACGTCGATGGTTTCGGCATGAAGCGCGTTGGCTGGCGCGCGGGCGCGGGTAGATGGGAACTCCGAACCGGGAAGACTGTTGATGTTTTCAGTTTGATGTACGACTGTAGTGATGAAATCATGCTATTATTTTCAGTAAAGCGATGACGCGTGTGACGTCAGATGCATACACGTTGCATACATCAGCGMGAGTCACGGGAAAAATTTAAATTCAAAATCGCGCGAATTGCGTTGCAGTGCATTGCTCGCATCGCGTGCATGCATCACTGTCGMTCAAACTTTWCTGTACGTACGATACGGTAATAGGAAAAGCGTGSACACGATTAGTACAGAAAATACCTTACACGCTACTGAACATTCCATCAAAATGGATTCTCAATGCTGCTGCCTGACCGCAAAGAAGTTTCGTGCGAGCSTGACGTAGGAAGTTAACTTGGATGACCGCAATGGAGGCGAGCAAAGATGTCGATTTCGATTTTTTTTGCGAAGATGTGGAAAGAGAGAGTCGTCGTCGACTCTTGTCTCTAAATTGTATCCGAATTTTAACTAGCACCGCATTGTTAACAAATTCTAAATTACAACGGCTCTGCGAACGTGTACTCAATATATTTTTATATAGCCACCATGAAGTTCTCCACAGCAGCATTGACGTTGGGCTTGGCTACGGCAGCGACGGCATTTGTGTAAGTGTGGACCATCTTTGTCGTCGACCCGATTTCCAGCGACCGACATGCCGCCAATTGGAATGTATGGATCAATGAGAGGAACGCTTGGCATGATGCGAGGATTGTGGAACTATAGAAGCCCTMTTGGGATTCAATAGTACATCGCTCGCGATGTTTCTTTCGATAATATTTTGTGAATGAAAAACGATGATTTATGCAAGTATTCTGTTCATTTGTTTCTGACTGGAAGGTTGAAGTTCAAACAAGAAATTTGGAAGGAATGGAGTCGAGACGAAAGAAAATGAACCGGAATTGTTATACGAGCGACAACGGAACAAAAAGAAACCAACTTTGTATTCTTAGATTCGAACTCTTCTTCATAGTCCACTTGGAAGTCGTTTTTCTGATGATTGTCTCTTTATTTTCTCTCTCTTTTTCTTTGAATTCCCGCAACGCTTCTGGATTTGTACGGATTGCCATGATACTGTGATACTATCTCACAAATAATTCTGAACGCGTCGTCAAACAACAACACCAACCATCGACTGTTAACATCGGCAAACCGATGTTGTACGCGACTATTAATGGACAAATCGTTTTTGTTTTGCTCAATAATTTTCTTTTCTTAGCGGACCATCCAAATTGTACGCCCCTCATAAAATTGGCAATGTACGAACATCAACCACGTTCAAAGCCGCCACTCTCGATGCTGAAACAGCCGCTGTCAACGGTGCCGACACCGGGAATCCCATGAGACCTCCTATCAACATGAAATGGAACCAGGTGGCAACGCAGCTCGAAGACGCTTTCGGCTACTCTACCGCAGAAGTGCAGGCATACGCCGACGATATGGAGGGCGACAAAGACAAGCTACTAAACTTATACAAAGCCATGCAAATGGCCAGAGGATTCGAAAATGCYTGCAACCAGCAATACATGCAAGGAAAGATCCGTGGATTTATGCATTTGGATAACGGGCAAGAATCTGTTCCGGGTCTCCTCGATTACGCGATCAAACAAACCGACAAGAAATTCTCCTACTATCGCGAGCACACCCACGCAATCGCCAGCGGTGTTGATGCGGGTGCCGTCATGGCCGAACTCTTCATGAAGGACACCGGAACCTGCCGTGGTGCCGGAGGATCGATGCACATCTTTGACCGGGAACAGTACTTCCAGGGTGGATGGGCCTTGGTCTGCGAACAACTTCCTTACGCGGCCGGTGCCGCTAAATCGATCTTGTTGGACCGCACCCTGGGTGTATCGGACGATTCCGATTACCAAAAGCARAACGTCGCTCCGCCTGCCGACGATGACCGCATCGCCGTCGTCTTCGTAGGGGAGGGTGGTGCCCAGAATGGACGAACTGCCGAATTGCTAAACTCTGCCGCCAAGGACAATCTTCCCATCCTACTTTTGGTCATCGACAACGGTCGTGCCATCAACACCTTCACCGGCGATATCGCACAAAACCCGAATGTTTACGAACAAGGAAAGCACTATGGTATTCCCGGTCTGCTGGTAGATGGTAACGACCCCGCCGACGTGGCCAAGGGAGGAAAAGCCGTCATCGATTACATTCGTAGTGGCAAGGGCCCTGCCATCTTGCAGGTACACACCTACCGATTCAACGGTCACTCCCCTGCTGATCCCGAACACGAACGTGGCCGAAAAGACGAAAAGGCCTGGGCCAGACAAGAACAAGATCCTCTGAAGTCATTCGAAGCCAAATACACCGGCAGYGTTTTCACCGAAGATGAACTCAAGGATGCCAAGAAGGAAATTATGGCCCAGGTGAAGGAAGCTGTAAAGTTTGCCGATGACTCTCCGATGCCTCCCGTTGAACTGGCCAARGAATTGGAGTTCCCCGACGCTCCAGATACGGACTACAACCTTAGGGAGGGACCTGCGTTTGCCGACGAGGTCAAYGCCCGAACCATCTCGCCTGAAAAAATGCAGAACGTCCAAGACCACATTGCATCTTTGGTAGCCAAGGCGGAAGCTGGTGATATTTCCATCGGTGATGCCATTAACCTTGCCATCCACGAAGAAATGCTTCGCGATCCTTCAACAACTATCCACGCCGAAGATTTGCAGGCTGGATCTTCTTACGACATTCCCAAATTGACACAACAAACCTACGGCCAAATGAGAGCCGCCGACGAGATCATCGACGAAGGGCACTTCATCGGGAAGGCCCTTGGTGAAGGTCTGAATGGATAYCGTCCCATTGTGGAACTCATGAACACAAACTTTGGTATTTATGGTATGGCAGAACTGTCTTCGGCCGGAAACACTTATGCCACTACCGGAGGAAAGTTCGACATGCCCATGACGATCATTGGTGCCGGTGGAACCGCCCCCAACCAATCTTTGGGTGCCGAACACAGTCAGCCTTTCCATGCATACGTAATGGGAATCCCTGGACTGAAAATCGCCACCGCTGCCTCCCCAGCCGCAGCCTATGGYATCACAAAGAGTATGATCCGTGACAACGGTCCTTGCTTCTTGTTTGCTCCAGTAAAGATGATGAAGGAAGCGAAGGGTCCTGTCGATCTTGGAAAATGCATGCCACTCAACAAGTCTGCTGTTTTGCATAAGGCATCGGACGAGGTTTGCGCTGCTGGAAATGCTGTTACTGTATTGACCTACTTGCACGGTGTCAAAGAATCTTTGGCTTCTATCGAGGCTATCCAAGAAGAAGGATTCGACATTGATCTCATCGAATTGAGATCTCTCAAGCCATTGGACATGGACACTATTCGTGAGTCTTTGGAAAGAACAAACAAGTTGTGCATTCTTGATGAATCCACCAAGAGCGGAGGYGTCGGTGCTACTATTAGTGCCCAGGTCTCGGAAGAACTCTTCGACCTTTTGGACTCTCCTGTAAAGCGATTATGTATGGACGACGCTCCTGTCCCATATGCCAGCAGTATGGAAGTAGCAGTTGTGAAGCGAGGGAGTGATTTGATCGAGGGTGTTTTTGATCTTTGCACCGGAAAGTGGTAAACTATCCAACAAAGGAACGACTGAATCGGATACTCTTTTTTTCGAACAATGAATATTTACGGTACCACCATCTSTACGCCAATATACTTTTGTCAGTTCTGCAACTGTTACCCGTCACGCTATTAGTAYTATTACTCTCTTATATTTTAATTGAACGCCTGCTACGTATCCAGGACGAATGCGCTTTTTGTGAATGAGCGATGTTGTTGTCATTAGCAGCATTAGTAGTACTAACAGTACCGGTATCGTCACCAAAATATCAGGACGATTTTTACTACCCTGTGACTAGTACTGCAAATGAGTTGAAGTGCCTATGGCTCTCCTCTTACTTGAACCAGTAATGGTAGTAGTAGTAGTATAGATCAAGTTTGGACTATCAGTAGTATTACTACTAGTAGTAGTTCCTCCTTAAATATTACTGGTAGAAGTAGTAGCCTAGTTTCTAGTAGTAAAGTACGGTAATAGTAGACCGATTTTAAAAAATGAAAAACGGGAATGGACTAGTCATTAGTCATTAGTCATACAACAACTCTCACTAGATACCTTCGTACTCTTATTCGGTAGTATGAGTACGAGTACTACCCCAGGAATCCTTAAAATCGAGTCACGATCAGTCKTATCATCCACGTGTCGCGCACGTTGTTCTTTCAAGTTGGAGAATGAAGAAAATCTTGTGACCGTATTCCACATGACAGATCATCAACTTCACCGTGGTGACGTTTCTCTGCAGCTAAAACCACAGGATTATCCGATGGGAACTCTKACACGAGAAAATAAAGCATTCCTTGTACCGTTGATACTTGGAAACGTTGAGTGAGTCAAGGTTTGTTTCTTGTTCTTGCGTATTGACAAATMAGYGAGAAGAAGGACTCCTCGATTCGATAGCRCCKACTGATTATTATTTCATTACATCCAAGTACACTYGGAAGATAAMATAAGAATARTAGAATGAAGTGGTCCTCCAGMGCTATCTTTGCCCTCATCGCAGGAAGTGCTAGTCAAGCATGGGGCTTTGCTCCGTACACTCCTGTCGGAACATCGGTGAAGTCTGAGTCTTCCCTCGTCATGAAGGATTACCCCAAACCCAACGTCGAAAATACCGATAACTACCGTCTGTACAACGAATTGTCCAGTTCTTTCAATAACAAACTTAAGATTRACGGAACCGACCAGAAGAAAAAGGTCGCCATCATCGGTGGAGGACTCTCGGGAYTGGCCTGTGCCAAGTATTTGTCGGATGCTGGTCACGAACCCACCGTCTACGAAGCCCGTGATGTATTGGGTGGAAAAGTTTCCGCATGGCAAGACGAGGATGGTGATTGGATTGAAACCGGATTGCACATTTTCTTCGGAGCCTACCCCAACATGATGAATCTTTTTGACGAACTCGACATYCACGATCGCCTTCAATGGAAGATTCACCAAATGATTTTTGCCATGCAGGAGTTGCCCGGTGAATTCACCACCTTTGATTTCATCCCCGGAATCCCCGCACCATTTAACTTTGGATTGGCTATTTTGCTGAACCAGAAAATGTTGACTTTGGGAGAGAARCTCCAAACTGCCCCTCCTCTCTTGCCKATGTTGATCGAAGGACARTCGTTCATCGATGCACAGGACGAACTCAGTGTCACTGATTTCATGAGAAAATATGGTATGCCTGAACGYATCAACTCTGAGGTCTTCATTGCWATGGCCAAAGCCCTCGACTTTATTGATCCCGATAAGCTGTCGATGACGGTTGTCTTGACTGCCATGAACCGTTTCTTGAACGAAGACAATGGTTTRCAGATGGCATTTTTGGACGGAAACCAACCTGACAGACTCTGTGCTCCCATGAAAGAACACATCGAAGCAAGAGGCGGAAACGTTGTCATGAACTCTCCCATCCAAGAGATCGTTGTCGATGAAGCCGATGGCAAGTCCATTAAGCACTTGCTCTTGCGAAGCGGAGAAAAGATCGTTGCCGACGAATATGTTTCGGCCATGCCAGTCGATATCGTRAAGCGCATGACGCCAAAGGAATGGCAACAAATGCCTTACTTCCGCCAGTTCGATGAACTCGAGGGTATCCCTGTCATCAACCTTCACATGTGGTTCGATCGCAAACTCAAGGCTGTCGATCACTTGTGCTTTTCAAGATCGCCCTTGYTGAGTGTTTACGCCGACATGAGTGTTACCTGCAAAGAATACTACGATCCCGATGCCAGTATGTTGGAATTGGTCTTTGCYCCGTGCTCTCCTATTGCCGGAGGAAATACCAACTGGATTTCSAAGACGGACGAACAGATCATTGACGCCACCATGGGAGAGTTGGCAAGACTGTTCCCCACCGAGATCGCCGCCGATGAMAAGTGGCCATCCACCAAGAACCAGGGACCTAACGGACAAGCTCGTCTGCGCAAATACTCTGTTGTGAAGGTACCACGATCTGTATACGCCGCTATCCCCGGACGTAACAAGTACCGACCAGGACAACGAAGTCCMATCCCTAACCTTACAATGGCCGGTGACTGGACATCGCAGAAGTTTTTGGGATCTATGGAGGGTGCCGTTCTTGGAGGCAAGCTTGCGGCCGAAATTGTTGCCAAGAAGGCCAAGGGAATTGAGCTTCCTGAATACAAGGAAATCCAGCAGCACATCATCGATGGCGCTAAGGACTACGAGCCCAAGAMACCATGGGGTGTCAAGGGCGAGGGTGSCATCGCCTTTGGTGCTGGTGCCACTCTGACGACCAAGGCCGAGGACCTTCTTAAGGAAGTCGACCCAGTTCAATTTGCTTAGATACTACCCAAAGTTCGAGGCACTTCGCGCTGTCTGAACACATTTGGAATTACCTCATAACSAATCAAAGCTACGTAAACTTAATTCAGAACATTACTTTCAACTAGAACGAATTTGTTGTACCGAACTCTATCTTTCAAAGATTGRTCACCTTGGAAACGCATCCTTTGTCAGATGGTGTGAAATTTAGCGAAATCCGTATTCYGTGCGGYGTTGAGTRTGAACGCTGCTCTGAGCAACACGAACGGTGACGAKAAGAAAATGMCATCTTGCGACGGGGTATACAATCCGTCTGTGCTTGGTGGTGCACGATTAGGTTTCCTTCTTTGCAACAGTGTTTTGCGACATCCAGCGCMTGGCAACTTCTTCTCTCGCCTTTTCTTCCAGCCGGATTTTCTTGTTTCGCTGGAACTTTCTCCAGTAGCTCCCRTCGGCGTTTGGATGAACGACTTCCACGTCCTGCGTTTCGTCGTCGACCAGGACCAGCGTCGATTTGTTCTGAACGACCAGGATTTCCTTGGTCCTGGGCGGACCGGTGGTCTCGTCTCCGTGTCCGGCACTGGGTTTGGCGGCCAGCTGTTCCTTCGTGACCACCACGCCCAGYGGGCTGAGTGTCTCGGCGTCGTATTCCACCAGTTGCCCCTCGTGCAGTCCCAATACCTTGCCGTCGGCCATGTGCCACCAGCAAACCGTCTTTCCACCKGTAGAAATGTCGCCKCCGACGTCCTCGAGATAGCAGCCGTCTTCCGGCTGGGGGACGTACGCCTGGAACCAATCCGGATCCCTGCCGGCGGTGGCCGYGGCGGTTTCGGTGGCGTCTCCGCTGCTCMCCGGCGGGGGGGACGCTTCGTCTCCTTTCCCGTGCGTCAGTTCGCCCGTTCGCAGATCAATGGTGGCGTCCAGCCGGACCMTMGCCCTGGAGGCATCCGTTGTTCCGCAATCCTCGCGCTGGTGGTGGTTGATGGAGAAGATCTGCAGGAATTCTCCCCCGCAGCCCCGTATCATCCTCGATTGCCTCCTCCGGTCGCGGCTCGAGCCCGGCCCCATGACCCCCACCTGCAAGAACGCGCAGGGCGATCCCGGGACCGCTTGGACCAGGGCGTCCTGGTAGTCGTGGGAGAGGTGGAAGTGTCCGCTCAGCCAGCACTTGATCTGAGGGTTTTCCTTGACGATCCTCACGAAGGAGTTCCGGACGTCGGTGGGGGAACAGTGGTTCAGCCAGGCGCAGCCGTTGGTGACGTGGACGCTCTGCAGGACCCGCAGGCCGCTGCCGGTGATGGGGGCGTGGGAAAAGACCAGGATCTTCCACCCCTCCGACTCGGGGTGCGATTCCACCATGTCGCGGAACCACTCGATCTGGTCGTCGTCGACGTGGACCTCGTGGGAGGAATAGGGGGCGTCGCGAAACCGGACCGTCGAGAGGCCCAGCARCAGGGTTCTGTCTCCGATGGTGCGGGAAAAATGGGGTGTTTTCTTGTCGAAGCAGTCCATCCAGGCCYKTAGGTTTTCCTCGTCCGTATCGAATTCGTCGAGTCCCTCGAGGTCGTGGTTTCCCTTTCGTGCGCGAACGTRTGCGGGTTTGTTTTGKTGCCAACGGTGTTTCGAAAAGAGCAAGCAGGTGGGTAAGAAAGAACGAACACGCCGGTGCCATTGCAACATCACCAAAACACAAAAAGGCGAAGCAATGACCTGGCGCAGCAACCACTCCATCCTCCAGATTTGCCCTCCTTGCTTACCGTTACGAGGTCATAGGGAATGCCCTCGAATCCATCGAAATAGGCTTTTGCATCCAAAAAGCTTTTCGTTGTACCGGCGTCGCCGGGTTCGTGCCGAATGTCCTTTCGTCCTGCGAAGCCGTCGAATTGACACGAGATGGATTCGGTGCAAGGGATTTGTTTTGCCGAAAAAAAAGGAAAAAAAGCGTCAGCAAACGAAAAACTACGGTCGGGAMAAGGATCGCAATGCGGGGCCATGTGCACGAGCTTGCTTGTTGCCTTCTTTGTTTGATTGTTCGTTCTTACCCAGGTCGCCGAGGCTGACAATGTGCGACTTGAGGTACCGGTGTTTCTTTCGCGCCAGCAACAGCTCGAGCTCCTCCTCGGACAGCGCCCCCCCGGGTTTTTCGCAGATCGCCGAGAGCCGTTCCCCGTCCAGGGCCGGGAGCGCGTTGTCGTTGTATTTGTATTTGTATTTGTATTTGTATTTGTCTCTTCCATTCGGGCCCAGCGGAGACGCCAGGAGCGGATGGCCGGCCAGCGCCTCGAGGCAGTCCCTCCGGGCCTCTTCGTGGTGGCGCATGTCGTCCTCCATGTGCAGGTCGCCCAGGACGACCAGCGACCACGAGTCCCGAAAGGTGTGCGGGGGCTCCCCGTCCGGCGTTTCCTCCGCGGAAAAGGGGGCGCCAGAACCGGTTTTGGCCCGGAGGGGCCGGTGGTTTCGAACCCGGCCCGGGAGGGGCTCTTGGTYGAGCGCGGCCCCCGGTCTTCCCCGCTGCCGGTGGCCTTTCGAGAGGGGCCCGCGCTGCGGCAGCGAAAAGGCCGCGGTGGACGGGAGGAGGAGCAGCAAGAGGGGCAGCCGGCCGCTTGCTGTCGTTGTTGCTGTCGTTGTTGCTGCCGCCGCCGCCGCCGTCGTCGCAGCCACGAGCAGCGCTAGCGCCAGCAGCCGAAGCGGCACGGGTATCGTTCTCTTGGCGGCGCTCCGTGGCCTCGTTCGTGCCCGCCGAGAGACTCGATCTCCGTCTCGAGATCCACTCCCCTTGTTCCGGGCATTGCGAGATTCGGTGATTGGTCTTGCGGTGCCGTTCGTGCCTTCCTCCGGGATTGGWGAATCAGAGCCCATCCTGCTACTAGCTAGCAGCCTCTCTGGCGAGAATGCGGAACCGTCGGATGCAATCAAAGGGAARATCCCCGCGCTGTCGTACGGGTACCTAGTACTTTCCTCGGGAAGATCGGGAGGCCCGCTTGTTCGTCTATATATTGTGAGTGCAATGTACATGCGATGGGTGCAGATTGTCGTGTTCCATCGGCGGAACTGTTCCTCTGCGGTATGTTCTATGTTCTACCGATGATGGTAGTACTATTCCGTACCTTGTACGCGTACGTACTCTTTACGAGCATGAGTACGGGTACCATGTACTCTCGTCCCGAATCCCGCAACAAGAGATTTGTTTGAACTTCCAAAGAAGATACACTACTGTGTCGTAGCAGGCCACACCGTATGGTACTCGTACTTACCGTCCGTACGAACTGTTGGTGGAACATTTTCTCGCAAATCAGAAATTAGAGAACGAAGAACGACGGCATCGACAATACATTATGAGTAATAGGTATGTACCATATGTATCGTACTCGTACTCACAATCATACTCGTTCGTACCAGTACTCACAACTCATCATGCAGCTTCAGTCATCAGTCATATCCATCAGGGTATGATATGATCATACCCTGACAGGTATGATCATATCCATCAGGGTATGATCATACCCTGACAG